CGATCATTAGATCAAAAAATGTTCAGAGTGGCCCGTTTTCAATGGGTATTTTGCGCACACTGTACAGAAAAATATACTGCAAAGTGGTAGCCAAATTGAAATATATTATTTACCAAACAATTTTCATTTTAAACGAAACTTATATGGTTGAACAATGGTAGTCGCAAACTCAAAATTGGGTCGGCTTTTCGAAGACGGTTATAAAATAATTTAGATCACTTAACTCTCTCTATAAAAATAAATTTGTATTATAAAAGTTGTTTTAGTTCCTAAAAAAGTCATTGCTTAGTGTTCATATTGAAAAAAAAATTTACTTCATGTTTATTATCATTTTACCTATCTTTTATTGACATTGCCTTAAAAAAGAAGAGGAATTGATTTTCACGTAACTCGTTTTACATTTTAAGTGACACCCTTATTTTTGTTTCTTCCCCCTTCTTAAAGCTTTAAGGAGAACTTGGAACATTTTTTATGACGGGATGAAAACGATATTTAATTGACAAGATTTACGATTTTTTAAGAAACACCCTTTCACAAGGTTAGCTGAAATATTCATTGAAATAGGGTTTTATATCATGTTTTAAGTATTTTTTTTAAAGTAAGAGTGATTTTTTTAAACTAAAATTTGTGTTTTTTATGAACGAAGAGTTTTAATTATCTGAGTAAATACAGTTTTTAAAAATCTAATTGCCCTTTTAAATTCATTTCAACACAATAAAATTGTTTTTTTTTTCCTTTTTTTTTTGAAAAATATAGGGTCAAATGAGATATAACATTTCTAATAATTGAAAAATAAAGTCTTTTTAAACAAAGTTTAATTTAAATATTGAAGTAAAAGAAGAATTAAAAACTAATACAATTCAATTTTTTTTTAAAAAGTATAAATTTCGGAAGATACCAGTTTTCGGTTGATAAAGAGTTCCTTTTTTCCCTTTTTTTAAGCCCCTTTATTGACTCGCTTCAGGGGTGAAAGTGGGATGGAAAACAGGAAATGCTGGTAGGAAAACCATTTCAGCTAAAGTTAGTTTTTTTCAATAGCTAGTTAGGAGTTTACGAATTCTTTTTTTCAAACTATTAAACAATATCAACTTTATCTTGGAAAAATAAGCAGTTTTATATATATATGCTTGCTAAAATTATAAAAAAAATTTTGATAGATACAGATATTTTATTTTTCTCGAAAAAAATGCTAGAATGAAATGTCTTTCGCACCGATATTTGCTTTTTTCTGTTTCGCTGCATAAGGGCTTTCAGTAACGACTCGCTTTCGAATCTGCGATGATGGAATTTTACAGTTTAAACTTCGACCCCTTAATAATTGGAATTACGTACCCAGTGACATTGCAAGCTATAATTGTTTCCAAAGCACAATTTGTCACGATTTCATCGCCAAATTGAAATTTATAGTCATCAAACTTTCCACCATTTTAAAATAAGTTAAAAGACTCAAATTGTAGCTGGAGCTCTGTGCTTGGTCACAAAACAAGTTCTTGCCATTTTCTGAATGCTATCTACATAAGTTATTGTAATATAATCACAAAAGTATCGTCGATCAATATTCCGACCTCTTTAAGCTTAAATTTTAACTTAAGACTCCTACTGGATGACAACGCAAGTTCCAATAGTTCTTGATCACTAAAAACAGAATTTACAGTCTGATTATCGTCAACTGAAATTCATGGTTTATAGAAATTGTAAATAGCTGAAGATCGAATTGCAATTAGAGTACAACTGTTTAATGACTTTACAATTTAAAATGGTTTCAACAACATTCCAGCTGCCTAAAAAGCCCTAATCGTAACTGCAAACCTGTGCTTGATAGCCAATTTCAATCATTTCTTAACAACTAGAAGTCGTCATTTATCTCCAAAATAAAAATTATAGTTAAATGAAATTTTGACCAGCTAAAGAGCTCTAATATGAACTAGAGTTCTGCGTTTGATGGCTATGTAAATTAAATGGATTCATAATCAAAATTCATTTTGATCTCTTTCCTATCAGTTCTATTGAAAGTTTCAAAATGCAACTGCCCCTCTGTTCTTGCATTATAAGTTTCAATCCTTTTCCTGTAACTTCCTGCAATTTTTTAACGTCAGATTATGGCCAAAATGGAACTTCTCGTCAAAAAAAATTTGGCTTTTTAAAATATTCAAATTTTCATTATAGTTTATTTTTTGTTGCCAGTAATACGCTACAAAAAGCATTTATAGTCATATTATCTTCAGAATAAAAATATCGTCAATTGAAATTTCGACCAATTTCCGGTTAGCTAATAATTGTTCACATTTCAACTGGCGCTGAATGCCTTATAACAAGTAACAATTGTTTAATAAATGATAAAAGCAGTATGTTTTGCTATTTTGCCACCAATCAAAATTTTGAAGACTTTACATGAGCTGATAGATAATTAGAATAAGAAAATAATTAAATAAAACAAAAATTTTAAAAACAACTCTTTCCTAGTTGACTAAAAAAGGACAAAATTATTTTTTTCACCATTAAGAAAACTCGCTTCTTTTTAAGAAAAAGTTAAGAGAGAAGGGAGGCTTCTTAGACCTCAAATGAGTAAAAGGGGAAGGGAGGCTTTTTAGAACTATAAATGAGCGACTAAAATATTACTTCATTAATTTTGTCCGGTGAGCGGTCAAAAGCTTGATCCATTCAAAGTTCACAACATTTTTAGACATACCTCCAGAACTGTTCCTTTACACACTATTTTAAAATTTGTTAGCCTAATAATAATTACGTTAAAAAACCGAAATTTGTAAGCTAATTATTATTTTTTTGGAATTGATTTTATAATATTTTAAAAACAAGATATAAAAAAATGCATCGTGTTGCACTACTTATTTTGGAATGTCAAGAACAAATATTTGAGCAGAATAGGTGAGCATTTCTGAAGAAACAGTTTATTTTTTGGGAATCATTTGACAATTTTATTAAAATTGATTTTACTACATCATAGTATGTACATTAAGAATTATTTTAAGAAGGATTATTTGTTTTACTTATAGCTTTAACTCTGGGATTAGAGTAGTTCAACAGTTCTTTTTCATATACTTGAAATAGGAAAAATAAACTGAAATCGTACTATTAGGCCTAAGGTTCAGTTTTATTTCCCTTACTTTTTTTAAATACAATTTGCTTTTGGTACAAGCAATCTTCTGTAATCGATTTCAATTCATAATTTTGTAGGCGCTGCAGTCTATTTTAATCATCACACCATTATAGTATTACTGGTTCTGCAATCGCCTTACAATGACCTATAATATTCTTACATTTATTTTATAATTTTATTGGTCAATCTTTGCTCTTAGTTTCATCTTTTAATTCTGAACTAAAGCTACTACAAGACTAAGTATCACATGATAGAGATGTAAAGGGCTCCTCTGGGCCAAGGCTCCTCGAACTACCTCCAAGGGCTCCTCGAACTACTAATTGACTATGACAAACAATCCTTATAGCAATACAAATAATCTTATAGCAGTTAACCCTTTCAACCCTTTCAAGTTTTTCAACCGTGTAAAAAACGGCTGCATCCACTTAAAGTTTATAAGACAAAACTTACTTGCGTTTAAACTCTTACTACCACATAATTCCTAAAATTCACTAATGAGGATGATGATGATATCACTTGCTATAGTCAGCCGTTAGAAATGATGTTCCGCGGAACCCTAGGTTTCTGTGGAAAAGTCGTGAGGGTTCCAATAATTATGAAATTGTTTAGCCATTTATGATTTTCGAAACCTGTAATTAAATTTATACCCGATGAAAAATCCATTTTTAATTTAATATTGACTTTATTTTTATGAAATTATTTAATTGAAATGCTTGTGAAGAAAGAAATTCCAAAGCACCGTTTTTTCAATTAGAAATGTCATTAACGAATTAAGAAAGGCATGTATGGATTTATGAAAAACTCTAGAAGTATTTCGCATCAAATAAAATTAACCGAATTCAACAATAAAGAAGTATGTTTCTATTTAATCATTCCAACGTTTATTTTATTCCTTTTTCGTTTTTATTTGAATGAAAAACGTATTTCAGCTCGTTTTATTTCAATCCATGCTTGCACTAAAACCAAATTAAGAACTAGATAAGATGCTGCTCCTGACCTGTGAAATCAGCTGTCTGACACAAAACCCAATTTTAAAACTAATATTAATTAAAAATAAACGTGATGAGAAAATTTCATTCTTCATTCATTCACTAAATATTTTTTTTAAATTAATAAAATTTAGATCATTACATGTTTTTAAAATAATTAATAGTTTTTCGTTAATTAATAATGTTTACAATTAATAATGAAAACTATTCATTAAAACTCGGGGTTCCGCCAAAAAATAGTTCATCATGAAGGATTCCACAGCCGAAAAAAAAATTAGGAACCGCTAGCAAGTCGATCCTAAATTATTTTTCGTTCCTTTGCAAGTCGATCCAAAATCGTCTTTTCGACTTACTTTGAGTTTCAAACTAAAAAAGTTTGATCACATATTAGACAAGTTGGAGCCAGATTCTGGACCGTGGATCAAAATGCAAAATCTTGTACTTTAAAAACCCTAGATGTTGAATAAGGAAACATATAATAAATATTTACAGTTCTAATGCTATATTTCAAAACTTATTGCAAAGATATTTGGATGAACGGGCAATTTTGTTTCATCATGTGGGGATAGAACCAACAATTATATAAAATAATTTTTTTCCATTTATATTAAACTTATTACCTCGTTCACTAATGTAGAGTCGTGTAATTCACGACTGCAGAAAATAACGTTCGAAAATGCTTCATAATAAGTAAAAAAATTTGAAAATGTTGTAACAGTCTCCTTTTATTTTAAAAGTATTACGTACATAACGTGAATTATTTCGCTTTAAAAATGCATTCCAAAAACGTTAGTGTTTTTCAGGGAAAAAAAACAAAGATACATTTAAAAAGTTTTATAATTTTTTTAAAGAATATTTACATGTCATAACTTTAATAACAAAATATTGTGCAGGAAAAAAACATTTCTACCACCAACATCCAATATAATATTTTCTATAATAATATTTGTTCTTATTGTTTATTATTTTCAATTTTTTCATGGTTTTACATAGTAAGTTTGAAAAATAAGAGAAATAACACTTAAATATACTAAGTATACTAAGTATATTTAATAGTAGTACTAACTTTTAACAAAAAGAACACATATCAGTATAAATGGTATTTTAAAATTAGACTAAACGAAATATTGTTTTTAAACCAATATCTGTTCCATTCTTTGCTGTTCCTGAACAACTGGTGTCGTTGATTTTAAGCCTTTTAGGTGTGGTACGCGGTAATTAAATGGTGACATATGGGATGGGGGTGGAACGTATCCAGGCACTTCAACAGGAACTTTCTCTTGCAAATATTTGGAACTGAGATTGTCAAGTACTAGCCTTTTTTCTAGTGTCAAAGGATTTACTCTAAATTGAGAGAGAACTGCATCATTTGCTACAGGCTTTTGTTCCAGGGGATCCTCCAATTTCAATTGTGTCTGCTTATCATTGCTGTCTGCAACTAACGCTTGAGCAATGGGAGAATTGGCCAAATTTGATGCTTGATGTAGTTGTACATCCCCTTCTTTAAAAAGGAGATTCGGCACTTGCTCTTTAGTGAACTTTTGTTGACTGAATTCTGGACCTTGAGCGAAAGCTGGCTTAATCTCGTCCTGACTTAAGGAAGGGTCAGTTTCAGAAAAGACTGTTTCCAAATGAACTTGACCAGAATTTAGTTTATTGTTTGCAGCACCTGATCCAACAGAAAGTGAAGCACCTTGAGCGCCTCTGGTAGCAAACACTTGCTTATCTTCACCAGAATAAAATCTAGATGGTTCTTGAATATTTCTTGATAAGTCACCTGAAGAAAATGCGGGGGCATCCACAGGGAATTCTACCACTCCACCAGATTCCAATATTCTATTTATTTCTTCCTCACTCAGTGTTAAAGATGATCCCCCGGGTCCACCTGAAACAATTATAGGTCCCCCTGAAATAGGAGCATTCGGGGAAAGTGTTCTACGTGCATTTGAAGTAATTGTAGAAGTTTGACTTTTCAAGTCCATTCTTTTTCGATCTGAAGAATCAGAAGTGCCGCTTGTAGGTTTCCTCACAGCAGATGCACGCGTTAACGATTGAACATTGGATCTAAGGGATGATACATCATTTTGTACTCTATTAACTGGTCTTGTTTCTTTTAACAAAGAATCTCTTATTCCTGGAGTGCTTAAAGGAGTATTTGAGGGAAATTCTACAACCCCACCGGAAGACAAAATTTTTTGAATTTCGTCCTCAGTAAGGGAAAATGATGCACCTCCAGGTCCGCCGGGAACTACAACTGATCCACCCCTCACACCTAAACCTGATACTGATTCACCTCTTGAACCAGAAGTAACTGTTGCCGTCTGTGACTTGAATTCTGTTCTTTTTAGATCAATGGGACGAACATTTACGGTAGGTTTTCTTGCCGATGATGTCTGTGAAACTGCTTGTGCATTAGATCTCATTGTTGTTGCACCTCCTCCATAAGCTGTACTTAATCCTGCTCCTGGAACACCTGATGGAGTGCCTGCGGGAAATTCTACAATTCCACCAGAAGACAAAATTTTTTGAATCTCGTTCTCAGTAAGGGAAAATGATGCACCTTCAGGTCCACCGGGAACTACAACTGATCCACCACTCCCACCTAAGCCGGATACTGATGCACCTCTAGAACTAGAAGTAACTGTTGCAGTCTGTGATTTAAATTCTGTTCTTTTTTGATCAATGGGACGAACATTTACGGTAGGCTTTCTTGCCGATGATGTCTGTGAAACTGCTTGTGCATTAGATCTCATTGTTGTTACACCTCCTTGATAAGCTGTACTTAATCCTGCTCCTGGAACACCTGATGGAGTGCCTGCGGGAAATTCTACTATTCCACCGGAAGACAAAATTTTTTGAATTTCGTCCTCAGTAAGGGAAAATGATGCACCCGGGAACTACAACTGATCCACCCCTCACACCTAAACCTGATACTGATGCACCTCTTGAACCAGAAGTAACTGTTGCCGTCTGTGACTTGAATTCTGTTCTTTTTAGATCAATGGGACGAACATTTACGGTAGGTTTTCTTGCCGATGATGTCTGTGAAACTGCTTGTGCATTAGATCTCATTGTTGTTACACCTCCTCGATAAGCTGTACTTAATCCGGCTCCTGGAACACCTGATGGAGTGCCTGCGGGAAATTCTACAATTCCACCAGAAGACAAAATTTTTTGAATCTCGTCCTCAGTAAGGGAAAACGATGCACCTCCAGGTCCACCGGGAACTACAACTGATCCTCCCCTCACACCTGAACTTGATACTGATGCACCTCTGGAACCAGAAGTAACTGTTGCCGTCTGTGACTTAAATTCTGTTCTCTTTTGATCAATGGGACGAACATTTACGGTAGGTTTTCTTGCCGATGATGTTTGTGAAACTGCTTGCGCATTAGATCTCATTGTTGTTGCACCTCCTCCATAAGCTGTACTTAATCCTGCTCCTGAAACACCTGATGGAGTGCCTGCCGGAAATTCTACAATTCCACCAGAAGACAAAATTTTTTGAATCTCGTCCTCAGTAAGGGAAAACGATGCACCTCCAGGTCCACCGGGAACTACAACTGATCCTCCCCTCACACCTAAACTTGATACAGATGCACCTCTGGAACCAGAAGTAACTGTTGCCGTCTGTGACTTAAATTCTGTTCTCTTTTGATCAATGGGACGAACATTTACGGTAGGTTTTCTTGCCGATGATGTTTGCGAAACTGCTTGTGCATTAGATCTCATTGTTGTTGCACCTCCTCCATAAGCTGTACTTAATCCTGCTCCTGGAACACCTGATGGAGTGCCTGCGGGAAATTCTACAATTCCACCAGAAGACAAAATTTTTTGAATCTCGTCCTCAGTAAGGGAAAACGATGCACCTCCAGGTCCACCAGGAACTACAACTGATCCTCCCCTCACACCTAAACTTGATACTGATGCACCTCTGGAACTAGAAGTAACTCTTGCCGTCTGTGACTTAAATTCTGTTCTCTTTTGATCAATGGGACGAACATTTACGGTAGGTTTTCTTGCGGATGATGTTTGTGAAACTGCTTGTGCATTAGATCTCATTGTTGTTGCACCTCCTCCATAAGCTGTACTTAATCCTGCTCCTGGAACACCTGATGGAGTGCCTGCGGGAAACTCTACGATTCCACCAGAAGACAAAATTTTTTGAATCTCGTTCTCAGTAAGGGAAAATGATGCACCTCCAGGTCCGCCGGGAACTACAACTGATCCACCACTCCCACCTAAGCCTGATACTGATGCACCTCTAGAACTAGAAGTAACTGTTGCCGTCTGTGACTTGAATTCTGTTCTTTTTAAATCAATGGGACGAACATTTACGGTAGGTTTTCTTGCCGATGATGTCTGTGAAACTGCTTGTGCATTAGATCTCATTGTTGTTACACCTCCTCGATAAGCTGTACTTAATCCGGTTCCTGGAACACCTGATGGAGTGCCTGCGGGAAATTCTACAATTCCACCAGAAGACAAAATTTTTTGAATCTCGTCCTCAGTAAGGGAAAACGATGCACCTCCAGCTCCACCGGGAACTACAACTGATCCACCACTCCCACCTAAGCCTGATACTGATGCACCTCTAGAACTAGAAGTAACTGTTGCCGTCTGTGATTTAAATTCTGTTCTTTTTTGATCAATGGGACGAACATTTAAGGTGGGTTTTCTTGCCGGTGACACCTGTGAAACTGATTGCACATTTGATCTGGTAGTCTCACCAGTTTGAGCTGTTCTGACTATTCCTGCTAGTGGAGCACCAGCTGTATCTGCTGGAAAGCTTCCTTGAGAATTTACAGGAAATTCCACGATACCACCAGATAATAAAATGTTTTGAATTTCTGTCTCAGTAAGGGTTAGTGATGCTCCTCCTGGCCCACCTGGTACAACAATTGGTTCTAACAATTCTGGTGAACCAACGGGGGGAGCAGCAGCTGCTTCAATATTCAATCCAAAATCTGTATATGGATTTCTGCTCTCAAAATTTGGTCTAATGTCACTGCGAGGAATTTGTGAGCCACGAACCATCTTAAAATCTTGATTAATCGTTTGAGTCGAACCTTGGCGAATCCCTCCATCTGGTACTAAGCTTGCTGTCTGTCCTAGTAATCTGGAAGTATCCTTCGCATCTACTATAGTCCCATCTTCCAGCACAATTACTTCTCTCCCAGCATCGTTTTCTGAACCATCTATAGTAATCAAAGGCGATCTATTTATTTTTGATTTGGTAGATGTTTTTACAGTCTTTGTAATCGGTTTTGGAGCTGGTGCAACTTTCTTAGAATCAGGTAGAACTATTTGTACGTCATCTTCACTTAATGAAGTAGGTACCTGTTGTTGAACTGGTTGTATAGTTTTTACTTGGGCAGTCGCTTCCGGCTTTCGTCGAATTGTTTTAATAATTTTCCTTCTAGCAACTTTTACACCTGCTGGTTGTGTTTCTAATGGATTTGCAACTGTTTTTCGTGTCTGTTCTGTCGCTACTGGGTGTGCTACAGGATCTCTTATCGGTGCCACAAGTGATGTTTTTCCTGATAGAAAAACTGCATCTTGTGATTGAAGTGGATGAGGAGGTGCACCTAAAACTAAAAATAATTACACAATTCAATAAATTTAAGATAAGTACAAACAACAAAAATGAGAGCACAAAAATACCGTTTCGTCTTGGTGTTTTTTCCATACAATTATAAAAAGATTTTTATTCAAATTATTAATGTGTCTCATTATTTAAGCGTGACCCAGTAAGTACTATGTAAACACATTACATAATGCTTTTGCTTCGAAATTTGAAACACTGCTGTTATTTAAAGATTTTTTTTTGTCGAAAACATTAGCGTAAAAAAAGTTTAAAAAGTCATACGTAAAAGTCATAAACAGCCAATATTTTTAGGATCAGTATGCTGCAAATACCTTCATTTTTTTTAAAATAAAGACAACAAAGTTCAACTAGCTGGGAAAATATGATATTTGCTTTATGAACACTCCCATACCTTATTATACCTTGATTTGCCTGTAAATTCGTCGGACTAGAACCAAATGAAAATTATTTGTACCAGAGAGCAAGTAATTATAATAATAGATAATAATAGCAAAAATGCAGTCTACCCTGAATAACTTTTAATCAAATGATCAAATCTTCATTTTTTTGAACAAAACCTTAATGGTTCGAGGGGGTTACCTCAAATATGCTAATTATATCCAGACGATATTTCAAGTTACGGAATCAAGCACAAAAGCATATTTGTTTGAAGACACCTTTTTTCCGAAGGGTTCAGAATTCTGATCCCAAAAATATAAGTTGTCGCCCTAATCATGGAAATATGATGCCAATTATTTGGTCAAGAGAGCGGTTCAAAGTTCGAACCCTTCAACGTTAATTTTACTTTTTGCATATTTCACTATATCTCGACAGCTTTTTAAGTGAATAAAAAACTTTTGCACAGATATATAACTAATTTCTTAAAAATTGAATTTTAAAAGTATGGCCTTTAAAATTTTCGATTTCTCACTAACCATTTGACCGATTTCGTTTAAATTTGATATTTTTCAATGTGAAATTACTTTCTTTCAATAATGCAAAAAAATTGCACACCTTACAATTCAAGAATTTTTTGATTATTATAAAATAACAAAAATAATAAATATTTTTTAAAAGTTGTTTTTGGCATGGCATTATGTTTTGGATAAACGAAGTGTATCCAAAGGACAACGAACCCAAAGACAAAAAATGTAATATAGTGTTGAATTTAGATGAATTAAATAATTTTTATTAATTAATTTGCTATGAATGAAAAACATTTTAAAATGTAAGGTATAAAAATTTTTAGATATTCGGAAATTTCAGATTTTTTTAAACATAAATTTGATTTCATGCCATTTGACCAATATATAGTCCTTAAAAATATATATAGTTCCTAAAAATAAATTATAGAATAATATTAAAATGACACTTTACAATACTACATTAATTCTTTCGCAAAAGGTTATAAGTTGACAACCTAAAGACCAACATGTAATATAGTAGGGAATTTAGATGAGTTAAAAACTTTTCATTAATTAATTAGTTAGTGACAAAAAAAATTTAAATTGTAAAATACGAAAATGTTTATACATTCAGATTTTTTCAAAAATTTAAATCTAATTGATCAATAAAAATGTGCTTAAAAATTAATTTCAAAAATAAACTATAGAATGGCCTTGCAGTTAGACTTTATTTTGAGATTACATCGCCAAACTGCAACACATAATTATACGTCATAAATTTTGTCTATTTGTCGATTACTTGGTTTTGGAAAGTAATCAAATGTACTTGAAAAGAAATTGAACTAAAAAATACACACGTGACACAATAAAAAGTAATGAAGGATAATTAATTTTACCTGCTAGCAGTCTATAATTATAACAGTTAGAAATTGCGACCTTTCTTCATAAGGTTCGCATAAACAATATCTACTTTTCAGATAAGTGCAAATAAATCAGTTTAGTTTATTTATTTATTTTTGTTCTTGTTCCCATAGCAACGAATTTTTTCTGGGTGCTCTAACAGCTTCATTTGGCTTCATCTGGAGAGTAAGTTATATAAATATGTTCAAGTATTTTCGAATCGAATGTAATAAATGAGTAATTTACTATTAAAACTATTTCAGGGGGAAAATATACTTGAGGGTACCCCTTGGCGAAATTGGCGACTTATGTTTGGCGCTATACCTGTTTGCGAGGAACACCGTGGTAACAGGAATAGCGGCCAAAACATAATGATATTTCAATAAAACATTGGAAAACTTCAACAAAACATCCGATAAAGATTGCAATGAATCCAATATAAGCAAAATTAATAATCCAATAAAAACGATTCTGAATCGAAGCAAAAAATAATGGAGTAGGCGCAGAAAGAAAAGGAAAAAAAAAGCAACTCACTTCTTCATTAAGCTTGAATATTCTCAGATTTAGGTGCACAGAATTATCTAATAACAGTTAGATACAGTCTAAATTTATCATTAATAGAATCTGCGTACCTCCATCGCCACATAAATTCGCCGAAATACGAATCGAAAATGGCGCCTGTAATACTGAACTAGCGGTGACATTTTTTTCTTAAATCCCTTTTTATAACTGCCCACATACCTTCGATCTTATTGACCAGATTCAAAAGTAAACTTACCAGCCGGTATCCAAAGTAGAACGTAGTCCTAACGGACCTCTGAAATTACATATACCGTTGAACATTTAAAAATAACGCTGAAATCTAAACCAATCAGAATCACGATTGGGTTTCAATATCGCCCGGCTTGGCGATCAATCGCGATCACAACTTGGCGAGAATCAAGGGACACAATCAAATATAGTCTACCCTATTTCAGAAGCATCATGTGAGCTAATATACTAGATTATTAATTTATTTTCACTAAATTATGCTTATTAAGTGTCTATCATCGGTTCGTCTATACTCTATATCGTCGTTAAAGAAAGAGATTTGAGATTACATCTTGATATTTAGATTGGATGCATACCTCACATAGGAATAATAGCCTTATATCATGTAACAGTTCAAATTGAAAACAGTTTTGTTCGCTTTTGAATTTTTATATATTAAGAAATTTCGATATTATGTGTAAGATTTACATCAAGCAACATATATATCTTTTTTAAATCTTTTTATTTTAGTTATTCATTTAGTCATTCAAAATTAACTGGCTTTATTTTTATAAAACAAGCATCGTTATGCAAATGAAAATATCATTTCATATAAATATTATTATTATTGAAAACTCTATGCAACTATATAGATTAATAACATGATTACAATTTAAAAGATATCAATCGAAGCTTAATAAATAAATATTCCTAAGAAACTGAATCGGTAATATATTACAAGATTAAAAACTTCATTCTCATCAATATAAAATATGAAAGGGAATTTTGACATTATTTCATTATACTTTTAATTCTATATACTTAGGACGAAATTATTATACTATATAATTAATTCTATATACATACTATATAAATAGGACGAAAATATAAAAATACTTCCATACTATTTCGATGCGAATAATTTTTAGCAGAAAAGGTTTTATTAGATAATACATGGCAAAACTGTTGATACAATTTGAAAAATCATTCTTAAGGCTTCTAGAAAAAAAAACTTTTTATCCATGCAAAATTTGCGTTGATAAAAATGGAGGTAAATACTTATTTCCTTTTTAAAGACCACTATAATTTTTCAATGCAAGTATTGCAATCTTATGGAATGATTTTAAAATTACTGGTATTTAAAACAATAAGATGTTATTAACTTTCCTCTCTCATTTTGGTCGATCTAAATTTAACATGGGTAAAAATTACACCACTTTTAAAAGCTTCAAGTATGATATTTCCAAAATATGTGCCAGCAGTTTTGCCTTCCAAAACTTTCCAAAATATTTGCTGCTAAAAAAAATTTTTTAAGCAAATAATTCCTATAAACTGAAACGGCCAGATATTCTTGACTAAAAACTTCATTCACTTTAAAAATATACAAATTGAAAATGCTAGTTGACGTGTCCCAAGTGCTCAAAAACAGGTGCCCATTTTCAAGACATGCCAGACGTGAATTATTAATTTTATTATCAATGTTAAAACATTATAATGTTTTTTTAACATTATAATAATAACATTAATAATATTAACGTTACTATTAAGTTCATTTACAATTTTATTTCTTCTCATTCACGTCTGGCAAATCTTAAAAATAAGCACCTGTTTTTGAGCGCTTGAAACAATTGGTATTTTCAATTTGTATATTTTTGAAGTGAATGAAGTAATATCCAAACTCGTGTTTCATTTCTTATCAATGGTCTTAAAATTTTGCTAAATTAAAATAAAATACATTGTATGTTTAAAAATGTTCTTAATATATCCTAAACGTCCTTGAGTAAAATTCAGCGTAAACTAAATTATTTATAAAAAATATTGAAAAAGAAGTTTTTACTTCAAATAAAGGTGAGAAAAGATTTTAAATTTCTATGCAAATTTTTTGGGATTCCCGGTTTTCAAGACAGTTATTGTGTCTAAGTAACTCATTTAAATCACTGAATATTTTGGGGAAGATCTTTTTTTATTATGATTCATTCTTTTTTCTTGAAGTCAAGGACAAATTATGCCTTCCTACACAAAAGAAATTATTAGGTTGGGTCACAGCTTTCTTGTCGTATTTTACAGCCGGATCTTTACAAGAATCTAACTCTCTAATTTTTAATGTCGCTAGGCTAACTCATAATGTAGCAACTTAACTGGTTTTCCCGTGAGACTTTAATTTTGAAATGGTAGAAAAAACTGCGTTTTGATTAATGAATTAGTTTTGAAAGGAATTTGATTAACATTTATGTTGAATAGTTCAAACATGCATGTGATAGGTCTTTTAACCATTTCATTTGAATTTGAAATGCTTACCTAAAAATTCTGCTTAGAATTGTTTACCGCTTGTGCAGGAAAGACGTACCACGCACGTCAAGATACTTTTGCTACAAAATCCTCAACAACGTGTTGTACACAACAGTAAGCGTTTTTCACATTTATTTTTTAAAATGACGCTTGTTGTCGTTTCATAAAAATAAAAAATAAAAAGATTGTTCCGATTTTTATAAGTCATCCAACACTTAAAATTCTCAGTGAGTGGACTGTTTTGTGTTTTGGTAAGCGCAAGCATACGTTTACAAGTGCAAGTGGTTAGTGCACTTGATATTGCACTAACCACTTAATTTGCACTTCAAAAATGAGATTTTGGCACGCTTGTAACCTCCTACTCACTTCGTTCAACAACTCCAATAATAGCTTTATAGACATCCAGCTTCTCAAATTAAAAAAAAAATTGCTAGAAAATTAAATTTATAACAGAACCATAAATTTCTATTGTAAATAAGTATTTCAACACAAAAGTTTATTACTCGCATAATGGGAGAGTATATGGAACTTTTTCTTTTTTCCCTCCAGTAGATTTTAATCAAATAACTACTACATATATCAAAGTTTTAAACAAAATGTATTCATTCTATAGACATAGAATTTTATTTTTTAAAAAAGGGGGGTATAGCTAATCATACAAAGCTAGAGAAAAACAGAATCCAATGATCGATAAAGGGAGTTCGAATTGTGACAATAGCCGAAATGGAGTGTTGAAGCGATTCAGGGGGGGGGGNGGAATTGACAAGTACAGAGCAAGTTATGGGTTTAGCTAGCCCCATTAGTTACGTTACGTTATAGAAATGTGTATCAGTTCCAATCACCTGTTTTTGTTATCACTCCAACCTTCGCATTGGAAGGACTAATAACTTCGTCACCAGTTTTCGTATGGAGCACTTTGGTACCGTAAGCATCACTTGATTTTGTGTTGAAATTATGAGTTGATGGTGCGATTTCTTCCTGCAAAAATAAATAAGAAGCTTACTAACAATTTTTATTAAATGAACACTGTTATATTAGATTACTTACTCTTAATTATTCAGAGTACAGCTAGGGCTGTTTGTATTTCGGGAAATAAAAGAAAAGTGGCAATAAAACCATTTCATATCTAATTTGTTTTCAGGATAAATGCGGAACCTTGGCTACCAAGATATATTAAAAGTTATAATGCATGTAAAGACTGTTTACTATGGTGGAAAATAACTCGTGATTAAGTTTTGTTAATCACGGACATTTGTTCCTTGTGAAAATGAGCTAAAAAGAAACTTGATTTTACTGTCAGTTTTGATACATTTTCCGTATACATGCGGCCCTGTACAACATTTGATTTAATTATAGGGATCAAAATTTTTGTACAACTGATAAAAATGCAGGTGGTGACAACTGTGCAACAAACAATAGCTGTGATGCCATTATAGGCATTGCATATTTCCTAGTTTTTACACTTTATTTCAGAAAAGTATAATTAATTTCAATCATTCTTAATTTCGTTCTAATTAAATAAAAACAATATTTAATTTTTTCCCCTGTCATTAAAACAGAATATAAATACTTCTATTATTTTCTTTTAACAATAAATGTAACGTCTAACTTTTTATACAAGAAAATAAATATTGTAATTCAATGTTGAGGCAAAACGAATATCAAAATCTATTTTTAGTATTACTTTCCATAAGCCGCTTTATTTTTTTTATTAACAAAAATGTTTTGGTTACAGGGTTATATTTTCTAAACAATTTAGCTTTTTTGGTGATTAGGGCCATTTAGGCCTCAGATGCCCAGTTCTAAAACAACGAACAAACAGATAATTCATGCTAAATCTTTTAAAAAACTAGCAAAATCTGTCTACTATTTACAAATTTAGTGTGTAGTTATTTGCCGTTGTGGCCAGACGGGCAAGCCGTGTAAAATTAGCATGGCATTCAACGTGTTAATGTAAAATTCTTTGTTTTGCAAATTTAGTTTGAAGTTATTTTTCACAAGACTACATAGTAATGATTCAAAAGTACACATGAAATGCCACTTTGTTTCAGTTCTCTCGAAGTCAGGTACTTAAAATTTTGGAAAAATTTACCAACAATTCTAAAGTTTTAATTCGTATTCGTCTACCACTCTATAAAATATTTTACAAAATGCGTAGCACTTTGCAAATCTTTATTAATATCATAACTGATTCATTAAACAATAGTAATACAACTTTTAATTTATAGAGGATTCTGTTTTACGAACCTAAATCAGATTTAAAGGTGGAGCAATTAATTGTATTTTATACTATAAAATTCTTGTTAATTTGCTGTTGTTGTAGTTCATTTACGTCTCACTAGAGCTGCACAATGGACTATTGGCGACGACTGGGAAACACCCCTGAGGATGATCCAAAGACATGCCATCACAATTTTGATCCTCTGCAGAGGGGATGCCACCCCCGCTTCGGTAGTCCGACGACCTGCACGCGAAGTCGAGTGCTTTACGGTAGCACAGTTTAACGAGGACCAATATCGCACACCCTCGGTCCCTACGCAGACTGATCCAAGTGGTCACCCACCCGCACACTGACCGCAGCCAGTGATGCTTGACTTCGGTGATCTGCTGGGAACC